ATTCATATTTGTGACTATTCTTAAAAAAAGGGATCCAATATAATAAAGAAATAAGCAAACAATACAAAAAATTTTGCTGAACATAATTTTAAAATGTTGATAAGAAGACTGTTCGGAAATTTAGAAGAGGATATGGAACAAGGGATATTGCTGTTACTGACTATGCATTCAACTCTATGGCTCATAATAAATTATAGATAAATTAAGAAGAAGAGGAATTACAGAACACTTAATTATGCCCATGTGGAACCTGCACATGAACCAAGAAACAGTCTTCAAACAGAACAAGGGTAAACTCTATGGCTTAAAAAATCAGAAAAGATGTACATATGAATTTCATCCTTTCACAGCTATTCGATTTGTGCGCTAGGCAAATAATCTGAGAAAATAAGACTACATAAAAAAGAATGTGGCATCAGGAATGAAGAATTAGGTATCAATAACTCCCAAGTGAAAGGACAGCAGTTGGAATCTACCAGCTCCTCAGTAGAACAAAGATGAAGAGTCTCCTCCCATAAATAATTAGCCCCTCTGAAAGAAAAAGGAGGGTTACCATGAGTTCAAAAGACTTGAAAGTAGTATGCATAAAAAAAATAAAAATAAAAAAAAGAAAGTAGTATGCATGTAGAAGAAACTCAATAAACATTTATTGATTAATTGGATTTAAAAAAAGATGCACCAACAGACTGTGATATGGAGATAAAACAGCTTTATTTGAGGAACATAAAAAAGATTTGACGAACATAAGGAGAAAATAAAAGACTGCAATTTCAGTATGGATGGTACATAAACATGAAGAAAGCAAAAATTTTCAAAATTGAAATAATAGGTAATATCATAAAAGATGGAGAAAAGGCTGATGTTGTCATAGATTTCAATGACAAATCTAATACCAAGGAATTCAGGTAGACATTTCATAACTGGCATTACTCTGGTAGTACAAAATCACCAGTAGCTTTAGAGAAGAAAGATGGGCAATCTCCTCCTCTGTGATTCAAAGCCTCCTGAAAATAGCTGGCCCCACTAAAAGGTCAGCTATGATTTGGTTCCTATTGGACAGCAATGAGTTGAGTTGAAAGAAAGAGGTATTCAGATTAAAAGTTAACGTGTGCCTCATCAAAATCATGTAGATAACTTAATATAATACGCATATGAAGTATATGTACTTATGTCAAAAATGGACAATGAATAAGGAAGACTGAAAAGACTTTGACTAAGGGTGTAGGGAAAGCATATTGAGTATCTATGGGCTGCCAGGAGAATAAATAAATGTATGAAAGAGCAAATCAGCCAGAGTACTTCCTAGAATCAATGATGATGAAATTTCATCTCACATAATTCTGGCATAGTATCTAAAGAGGCCAGTCACTGGAAAGAACATCATGTGTGGAAAGGTACAGGGTCAGAGGAAGACTCTCAAAGGATGGATTCATATAGTGACTGCAACAATTAGCTTGAGCATCTGAGAAATTGTGAGAATGGCAGGGGATCGGGCAAGGGATAAATTTGTTGAATTTAAGTTTGCTATGAGCCAGAGTAGACTTAACTACACCCTAAAAAAAGAGGAAACTAAAAACTGAATTTCACTATTGTCAAGTGGATTTCAACTCAAAACTTACCACTACTGTATTACTGAGATTGTGTATTTTAATGAGAAGAGACTGTCAATTTTTAACTACATGTGCCAATGGAAGCCAATTAACAGACACCATGACACTTAGCAATCAATCAAACTACTGTCTCACAAGATCTTTAATTGTATATAAGCACCATCAGCAGCTACTTTTTTCCATCCTTCTTATAAATGTCTATCACATTTTTTCTATTGCATTTTTTACACCTGTCTTTTTCTAAGTATACCACTGAGTAAAAACCATTTAAGTGAGAAATACTGACTGTACCACTCTTAATCAATGTGATTTTCTCAGTATCATAAACCAAAATTTCAACAACTTAAATAAAAAAACCCTCAAAAATCATTCTCTTGTCCTAATGCAAAAGGGGGGGGGATCCAATGAAATAACAACAAAACTCAAACCCCAAACACTCACTGCTGTTGAGTTGGAACTGATTCATAGCTAACCCTCCATAGGGTTTTCAAAGCTAAAAATGCAAGGGAGGAGACTACCCACTATTCTATAGGTGAGCTGCTAGTGGATCATGCCAATACAAGAGGGCCACAGCCTTTAGTTTAAACTCCCTACAGACTAGCCATTAGAACAAACTTTCCTACCCCAAACAACTTCTAATAACTTTGGCCTCTATACTTTCAATAGAAAAAATATAGCAAAATATTTCTTTTGATGATTTACTTATTTAATATATGTCTAATAAAGAATTAATAAATGAGTAATATCTTTAATCTCCATCCTTATTAGAATACGTAAAAGACTTCATTTCACCTACCAGATGACTAGTAATCCACTGGATGAACATTGTATATCTGCTTATAGTAATAAAAAAAAAACACATTTGTGCCAAAGAAGAATTGATGTTCTTCTTAAGTCAGTAAGAATATATCACTTTCAAGTGAGAGCTTTAAAAGTAGTTCTATGCATTACTGATATTTAAATCATTTTTCACCAAAGTAGACTATTGTTGTTGCTTGTTATGTGCCATCGAGTTGCTTGTGACTCATATCGACCCTATGTACAACAGCCCTAAACTCCGCTCTGTCCTGTGCCAATCGCACTGTCTCTGAC